ACTGTCCTGCTTTCTTCAGCCTTGGTGACGTGGGACTCTTCCACTGACGGCTCTGGCATTTGGTCTCCGGGTCGTACTCGATCCATGACTCATCACCGGTGATGACTCTCCCTAGAAGGTCTGGTTCAGTTGCAAGACATGCGAGGATGTCCTGACACACTTGCATGCTTCGATCCTTCTGGTCATCGTTCAGCAGTTTCGGCACCAGACTTTCTGCTCAAATCATCAGCGATAATCTTCCAGATCTTGTCCCGGTTCTTGTCCAGCTCATCTGCCATCAGTAGAACTGTCAACCGCCGATGGCCACACACCATCTGCCTGATGCGCTCAATGTTGGCCTTCTGCTCGTGGGTCGTCTTCCACATCCTGGTGGCCCTCTGTATTCCTCTTGCACCACTCAAAAACACATGAGCGGGACATCGTCTCATCTTCGTACACTTGCTTCAGCAATCCTAGTGCTTCTGACCGGATCAGAAACTTGAGGTTTGTTCATTGCTCTGTGCTCATTGCTTGACAACATGAAACAGAGGATATGTATATAAAAGCATGTGGAAAAAAGCTGAATGGCTGCAGAGAGCTGAGATCACAGTTCTAGACTCTCACTACAAAGGGGAGAACTGGTAGTTTGGGTTTGAAATCCATCTTTTGTGACAATAGTCCTGGAACTTTTCTGACACCCCTCGTATGGTCACTTACTGATTAGATTATAATATTTAAACCTACATGGTTACTTCTATGTCCACACAGTCACAGAAAAAATGAATGAACTTTTTAAGATGGTTGAACAACTGTGAAGCGTACAGATGAAGCTGATGTGACTCTCAGGAGCTTGAATCGCTGGAATGTTTGACTCTTTAAATTTCCTTCAGCTGCAGATGTTTGAGGGTTTTCTTTATTGTCTCAAACCTTCAACATTTCAGTTGGATTAGAATCTTGGTTTTAACTGGACCGTTAAGTGTACAGACCATTAATGTGTAGATGTAACCCTCAGCAGGTCACTGTAAAGCTGATGTGTACCACTGAGTGGCGCTGTTTGCTCTTCATCGTTCTGATTATTGCAGTTAAACACATCCAACACTCAGCAGGTCACTTCACCTTCCAGCTCTGATACAATGCAAAGTTCAGCAGCTGTTCAGTCTCATCATGAAGGCTTCTTCCTCCCTGATTGTAGCTGCAGCTCTTTGACTCCAACAGAGTCTCTGCACATCCTGGACCAAACTTTGGCTTCCTGGAGACTTTTTCAGTCTAACTCTCTGCTCTGAGGCTGAACTTACTGGACGCTCAGTCCTGGACAAACTGCTGGAAATCTGCAGTTTGGGGATCTTTGTAAATCCAGACTCTTTGTTCTAAAGCTCTCAGAGCTCTTCAGATTTTAGCAGGACACTTGAGCAGCACAGAGAAGAGCAGAGGTTTAAATAAGAAGGTTCCACTACCACTGCCTGATGAGGTTCTAACCACTGGAACCTCATCTGGAACCCGGTTCCACTCTGATGTGAGAAATGTGAGGCTGTACTGAATCTTTCCATGTGACGCATCTGTTTTTATATATTTAAATGATGAACGTCAGTGTCACAAGTCATGACTTTGTCACCTTTATCCATCTTTAAATATGTTGAAAGTCAACAGTTTTTTGTGATGTCTTTATTTTTAGGACTCTACATCACGCTAGATATGTTGTGTTGTCCAGAGGTAGTTGTGTAGTTTTGTCAAGTCCTGACTCTGACTGTGTGTTTTCAGTCGACAGTAAACAGTCTGAACGGAGTGAAGAACTCCGAGGTATCAGAAGACATCATCATCTGCGACCTGACGGAGAACGAAGCCGAGGTGACGGCCGAGATCACCGAGGAGTCGCCCAGAGCCTTCGAACAGGGGTAGAACCCGAACCCAACCATAAGCAAACCCATAACCCTCTAACCCTAACCCAACTGTTGATATAACCATAACCATAGGCACAAACCTCTAATCCAGCTACTACTTTAACCATAAACATACCCATAACCCTAATCCTCTACCCGTCGAACCACAACCACAGCCCTCTAACCCTCTAACCATAACTGTAACCCAGAGCCTTTGACCAGGGGTAACACTTCACCCATAACTATATTGGACTGTCAACACTGGTCTCCAGATTGTCAGAGATGGTGAAGGTGGACAGTTGTCTGACTCTCTCAACTAACCATCTAAACTAACTAGTTCTGACTGACGTGTGTCTCAGAGATGTGGAGATCGTGGAGGTGGAGCTGGACAGTTGTGGTGTTCTGCCGGCTGAGATGGAGGTGAGTACCAGCAACGACACCAAACCAACAGAAGTGGCAGCAGATGTCGGGCAATGGAGCAGCTCATTGGACAGCAGCGCACCGACCAGCAGCTCATTGGACAGCAGCAAACCAACCAGCAGCTCATTGGACAGCAGCAAACCGACCAGCAGCTCATTGGACAGCAGCGCACCAACCAGCAGTGCCCTGCAGCTCAACAAACCGTCCGGTCTGAGTCTGGAGGACCCAATGAAGATGATGGACTCCATCCTGAATGAGAATGGAGCCATATCCCAGAACATCAACCTGTTGGGAAAGTAAGTCCTCAACACAGCAGACCTTCAATCTGCATGACCTGATTGGTTCTGTTCAGTGCATGCTTCGCCCTCTAGCGTCTCATTGGTCAAACCTTTTGAGGCTCCGCCCACAACAAGTTCCAAGAATCCTGCAGATACTCGAATGTTTCCACGAAGCTCCATCAGTGAGTTGTGTTTGACCTGCTGTTAAACTGTCCAGCAGAAATAAAGCCGTTTACCGTTTAAATCATTGTTCTGATGAGAAACGTCTGTTTTATAAAACAGTTCAACTGTGTGATTCTGTCGCTTTAACATTGTTCTGACATGAGCATTAATGATTAAACACCCACATGTCCTGGATGCGTTTCACCTCGTTTAACCCGTTCAGACTCTGTTTAACACATCGATGTTAAATGTTCAGTCATGTCTGAATGCTGATCAGTAAATAAACACATAGAAACCAGCATCTATCCTCCTACAGTTTATCATCTCTGCACAGGGCTCCTTCTCTGTGATCACATGAAGATATTTACTGTGTGATTCTACACTTAGTTGACGATAGAAGTTTGGGGAAAAGCAAAGCTTTCAGCTGCTTTTCTTCATTATAGATATAATATAGCCGTGGTTCTGTGGGACTGAGCCGTGGTTCTGGTCAATATGCTGATGCGGTGTCTCTGTGTGTCCAGGGTGGAGCTCATGGATTACCTGGACAGTATCGACTGCAGCCTGGAGGACTTCCAGGCCATGCTGTATGGAAAACAGTTTGGCATAGATTTTGATGCCGTGGAGGTAAAACAGTCAAACACCAAAGCAGAAATGAACACAGCTTGTCTCAGCAGCCTCACTGCACATAAACTGACAAACCACAAAGGACAGAATCTCTGCTGAAAGAATCATGTTCTTGTGGCGGTTCGACACCTGATGCTGTTTTTTCCTTTAATCTGTCACTGTCTGCATCCCTTTTTCATGTTTGGTTTGAAACTCTGTGTTTCAGGAGAACGTTTCCTCCAAAGAAAACCTGAGCCAGCAGAACAGAAGCCGGACCAACGACCACAACACAGGTGAGTTTGGATACAGTCAGACTGAACAAACCAGCCTCCAGTTCTGACTCACTTTATTAATAATAACATTATGGTCATTGTTAAGAATCATAATAATCCAGACAAATTGAAGGATTTTGAAAAGACTTTTCTCGAATGCTGCACGAAGCTTCCTTCAGGTTTCTGCTGTATTGTAGTCGTACACAGTCACGGAAAACATGACCAGACCACCTTGTTTTCTTCAGTTTCTTGTTCATTGTAACGCATGGTTCCACTAAAGGTCCATTACCTGAAGAACACAATGAACAGGACACAACATGCAGCTGATCCATCGTCCTTTCTGTCCTGTGTGACCTGCTTCAGCTTCATGTGTTCCCTGTAGGGTCCATAAGAGGCCGTTTCATGTCATCAGCAGCACATGCAAAGACCTGGA